CAGAAAAGCAAAGCTGGATGTGAGCAGTTGAGCTCAGGTGACCAGTGAGTCAGCGGTGAGACCCAGAGTAGAGGAACCGCCGCCCTCTCCCCCCACAAAAAAAGAACATCAAAAGGGGCTGCCACATTATTGGGTAAGCGATGCAGAAATCCCATCCTCTTTGGAGAATTCCCCAAAACTGCAATTTGCCCGTCTGCTTGTGCCTATGTTCTCTATGCGGGCTCAGGATTCTTTCTCCATCCTAACCACCACTGCCTGCTTCCTCCTTCATGATCTGAACGACAAACAACAGAACCTTAAAAACAAGGGCAGTGGACTCTGCAACTCAGAGGAAATTGGAGGACAGTGTCAGGGACCCCAGAAGTGAGTTTGGGAGTGAATAGAGACAAAGCAGACCCATATTAAAACACCTACACAGACCTGTAAGACAGACACTAAACTTGGGCTCTGAGTGAGACCTCGACCAAAGCCTGAGCCTATCGCAGAAGACAGCAGCCTATCGCTGCCCATCACAGCCCAGCAGAGCCCAGCAGAGCTGGGGCAGGACCATGGAGAACAACCTGTGAGCTCCTCATTGCTCAGCCCAGTGAGCTGTGGGCTGGCTTCGGGGTTATTTCCCACCAGCTGCTTAACTTCCACAGAAGGACACACAGTACCTCTGGACCCACCTGGGAGGTTCCAAACAGTCTGAAGTCCAAAATAACAAGGGACAGTAGGCTCTTCTTCCCCTGTTACTTCCTCCTGTGTTCGCTCTAGGATAGGAACCAGCATTTTGAGTCCCTTGCAACCAACGTATGTGAAACTGATGAAGTCCCAGGGTGCTTGCTCTAAAATATTTATGATTTATTCCCTCCTACGGTGTCTGAATCATCCGTGCTATTGCACTGTAACAACGTAGCTGTTTCTGCTCTCTTATCTGTGTGCCCCAATCACAGTAGCATATCTAGCTTAAGGTAGGTGTTCAATAAACATCTGTTGAACTTAAAAATCTTACATTCATCTCCAGTTAGAATTGGTTTTTGGCCAGCAGGAGCCATATGTTACATTTTCTTTGTATACACTTTAAGCTCTATAAACAGGTAGGTACTCAATACATATTTGGGAATAAATGGTTGATTACTTGGCTATAACCCTTCTTCAGGCTGTGTCTGAGAACCCTCATGTACATACTGAGAAATACAAATATACATGTTGGAGTTCTTTGCTTTTTTTTGGGGGGGGGTTCCCCATCCCTGGAGATGGAGGGGACAGGGAGTATAACCTGAGATGGTTTCTCAGGGGTCTACACTCTAAATTCGATGGTTTTGAAACCAGTAACTAAAGAATAAACCTTGAATCTAATAACAACTCCATTAACACACCCATGTGAACACAGGCATGTGTCACATAAATACGTGTGCCATATGCATTTATTACATGCAGGTATGATTCTGGAATATATTAGAGATATAAAAACTGGTAACCATTCAACGACAGGAAATTTTCATGCGTGATAATAACAGCGATGCAGACTTCTATTCTTTAGTGGCTATTGTCATTAGGACTGGTAGCAAATCACAAGTGTCTTGACAAGAGTAATTACCAGCATTAATTTAACCCCTTTCTCAGATTCAGTACTTCCTGGGGTGGCAAGACCTACTGGAGGGGGGGGGGGCACTATTTCAACTAAAAGCCATAGGCTGAGAAGAGGAATCACAAAGAGCGGAAAGTAGCCCTTCTCCCACTGAGAGTCCTGCCTCACAGGACCATCTTAATCAATGCAATGTATAGAAGGCAGGGGTCGCCCTGAAAAGTCAAACATATTATTCCAGCAATCTGTTAACCACTGATGACACTGTCCCCCAGAAGGCGGTACAAAATTACTGCCTCCAAGCGTACACAATCCAGGACAGACACTTGACACAGCAGATGGGGTGATCTGTGTGTAAACCTAGTCCTGTTCCAAACACTCAAAGGGAGCTTCCTCCCGCAACCTGAGTGCATCCTGTGAGGGGCTTGTGCGGTGCATTCTGTTCTCATGTAACTGGGTTTTCTTGAAAGCCAGGCACTTTTCTCCTGAGGTCCGAGCATGCTCGCAAGCGGGATTCCTGAGGTTTTGGGCACGGACCCAGCACTAGGCCAGAGGGCCTGCCGGACAGCCTGCAGCCCCTCTCCGCCCTCTGGGCGGCACCTTCTCTCTCCTCTAGCTCCCGGCGGGCGGCATCCGTTCGTGCTGTGTCACCTTCGCCGGCCTGAGCTCCAGCCGCCTAGAAGCCGGCAGCTCCAGCGGCTTCCTTCCTTAGCTCGCGGGCCTCCAGCCTGGGAGATAGATAATCCCCGGGCCAAGGAGCCTGAGCCCGGTGGGCGGAGCCGACAGAGGCACGGTCTGGGCATCCAGCAGCAGCGAGGCGGCAGCGCCGGCCGGGCCTGGGCCGGGACCGGGACTGCGGGCCAGCCTTTGGCCCACAGGGCCTCTAGGACGCAGAATTGGGAGGGGCGCGCAGGGCGCACCGATTCCCTCCAGGGTCTGCTGGCCATGCATACCCACAGAGCGCCTCGGTACAAGGGTCAGCCCAAGCGTGGGGGGCGGTGAAGGGAGGCGGGGGAGAGAACACTCGAGCTCCCCAAGGCTTCTCCCGGTTCATCCAGACCACCCCTCCCCAGCGCTGCAGCCAGTCTGTCGGGTCTAGGGGCGTGAGATGCGGAGGGACTCCCTTTGTGAACCCGGCACACACGCAAGCACGACCCCCTCTCTAAGAAACACGGGCGCGCACGCCCGCCCCGGAACCCAAAAAAATAACAAACCCCAACTGGGAACCCCCCAGGGGGTTGAAGGGGGACCCGGGCGCGTCCCCAATTTTGCAGCCCGTTGGGGGTCCCCCCCCCCCCTAAACCCCAATTTCTCAAGGTGGGGGGGGGGTTGTCCTCACAAAAAAGCTGGGGGGGGAGGGCAACCTTCTTTTCCGGGG